TGGATGGATGGATGGATGGATGGATGGATGGATGGATGGATGGATGGGTAGCTCCTCCTTGTGATGTCTTTCACCAGCCAATAACTTCACTATCTTATTAGATTTTATCTTTTCTTTTCCTTATATTTGGCAGTATTAAATGTGTTTTTCCTTATATTTCCCATTTGGAAATTTATCTTATTTCTACTTTGCATTTGCAAGATGATTTATTGTTCATAAAAGCTACAAGGGGGTTCTATTGGGGGGGGGGGGGGGGGGACATTTTAGAAAAATAACACATTTGAACAAATCAACCATCTTGTAGTCATTTATTTGAATAATCTGGAAAAACTCAAACATGTGAACCTGACAAACAGCAAGATTGAATAATTTTGACTTATTTTTTCCTTTGGCCTTTAAAAAACCTCATCCATTTCATCCTGACAGCCAGCCAGGAACTTAATGTTCCCTGTGTTCTCAGTCTCATCTAATCTCGCTCTGTTTGAGCTTCTCTTGAGCATCTGTCAGTACGACCCAAGCTGGAAACGGCCCTGGAGAGCTGAGGCCATGTCTGAGGAGAAAGAGCGAAAGAGGTGTTCTGTCATTACATCAGCATCGAGACGAGTGTGAAAAATTAGAGTACGAAAGGGTCTATTTATCCAAAATCATATCAGATTGTATCATGTGTCCAGAAATGATTTGAAAAGGATTTCTTGGATAACGCAGAAAGAGTTGTCCTGAAGTTACAGAGCTGACTGCAGCCATCTTGGAGTCAATCTGATTACGAGTGTGGGAATGGCAGCTTCTTAAACCACATCTCCAAAATGATTCACGTCTGCAGCTCCAGTGGGCTCAGCCTGGACTACCGTCCTGTGGGCATTTTACGAGCCGATTAAAACCAAAACAATCTTCTTCCTCACTGAATCCCACCACATTATGTCATTTTGGGTGTGGGAATTATGGCGTTCAATCAACATACCCTCCTCGTGACCTCACTTAGTATAGATCTTCCTCTTCGATCCCACATGTTTGAGGATGACTTCATTTGCGGGGAGGGAAAGCACCTGGCGAACAAATGTGCTTTTGTCTTTCCTTTGTTTTGTTTCGCAGCGTGGGTCACACATAAGGGTGGTGGTGTTTTAAAGAGCTCTTCAAGGCGTGTTCAACAACAATCTGAACTTCTTACACAAAGAAAGAAGTGAAAGGTGGGAATTGAGGAATAGTTCTCAGTCTGATTACTTGATTACAAACAGAACATCATCACCACACCTATGAACCAGAAATGATCTGGGTTGAACAAATCGCCTCTTGAATCCAATACGCAACACAGAACATGTGTCCTACTTATCTCAATCAGCAGGGAGTGTGTATTCAGTGGGACTTCTGCATTGTGTCATTCTGTGCATGTAGCCGTTCCCTCTGGTCACCACTGCGGTCCACTCCCTTCACTTCTTGTTTAATATAACTGCACCACAACCCCCCCTCAAACAAGTCAATTCATGCAAGTGACGATATTAAAGGAGCCAGTGGCCGTTTATGAGCTAAAGATAAACATTAACAAGTAACAGATATCACATATCAGGTCAGGAACATAAAGATTTTATTAGGAATTTTATTGCTTCAGCGTTTTTCTTTAGACTGTGAGTTTGGATATAATTTTGATAAAGTTTTTCCCCATGGGTTGGACCCTCGTTAGGTACAAACTGCTCCTTAACCTCAGCGATTTTTTCCATCAATCCAGTATTTTTACTTCTTCTTCCTTTCTGGGTCACATGGGTCACTGGTGACATATTCATATCCAGCCGTTGCAATGTAAGAGATGAAGGGACACCCTGGACAGGTCTCCAGTCCATCACAGGGACACATAGAGACAAACAAGACAACCATTCACCCTCACCTAAATTAACCATGTTGTTAAAGTTTGTCGGTGGAAGATAAAACTCTCCAGATCAGGAAGTCATTCATGCAATTAAAGCATCTGAATGTAAACTTATACCCAACACTCAGAGTTTCTACTATAGTGTGTATATAATATACACAAAAAAGTTACAGCATAGTCAAGACTCTGGTTCCAATAAATAAAAACTATATTAAAAAAAACACTGTTCATTATTTTAAAAGATGTCCCCAGAGAACAGTCTAATACAAAATATATGTTTAACTAATAAAAGGTGTATTCCACTGAATGTGTCAGTATATGACTTGTTCTTTTTGTGATTCTGTGTGCATATCAAATTCAAATTCAAAAACGTTCAATACAAAAATACATGTTTGAATTTATCATGTCCTGGATGACTGAGAATCTTCACCAGCATATCAAAGTCAAAGTTTCTTTATTTGCCATATGCACTACATGTGGTACATGTGGTGGAACAAAATTGTGTACACAGGGTCCCAGTTACATCCAACAGAAGTACAAATTGTAAAAGAAAAACAGTATTAAGATCTAATGTATGAAGTAAGAAAAATGTTAAACTAAAAATATGCTAAGTAATAGTAGTACAGAAATAATACACCGAACAGCAGCACAAACATGAGTCTGTGTGAGCAGATTGTATGGCAAGCTAGAGAACCCAAAAATAGACTTGTTTATAACGGTTCTTTATGCAAAAAATGCTGGATTATGCCGTAAAATACGGCATAAATTCACCCAAAATGCAGTTTTTTTACGACTGCCTTCTAAATGCCGAAATTTACGCCGTTTATTTTGGGCATTGAATGCCGCTTTTTACTCGCGATGTTGTTATAAAACGTCGTAATTTCGCCGCAATTTATATCGTAAAAGATGGCGCTTTCTTGAATTTTGCAAGTCCCTCCCCATATTTTCTTATTCACTCAGCTTAAACTGCAGTCATCCAATAGGAAAAGTACAATTGTAGACCACACTATATCAACACAGACTGACAAGAGAGATGAGTACGGATGAACACAGCAGCGTGAAATATATCAGCAGCATAAGATCAGCAGCATGGATAGTCAGCAGCACATAACAATCAAGTGGCATTACAGTGATTTTTTTTTCACAGTGATAATCCTGGTTAGAGATTAATGAGTCTAACAGCCTCAGGGTAGAAGCTGTTCCTCAGTCTAGTGGTTCTACTCTTAATGTTCCTCAACCTTCAGCCTGAGGGGGGCGGGGCAAAAAGTGTGTGTGCTGGGTGAGTGGGGTCCTTCATGATGCAGGTGGCCCTCTTCCTGCATCTGGAAGTGTAGATGTCTGTGATGGTGGGGAGGCTGACTCTGATATGGACATGAAACAAAAAACTTGAACTATCACAAAAGCAATGTTTTTTAAAGAGACTGCCCAAGTTTGTCCCTGCTCTAAATCTTTTATTTAGTTAAATATATATCATGCTTTACTGACTAAAACCACACCTTTATGTTTATAAATTAAAGTCAGCATAAATAAGTTTCAGACATTCTGGATGGTGACATATGGACTGCCAAAAAGTCCTCACTTGCATTGCATGCTAAAAAAAAAATCTGTACTTTGCTGCTTTTTATGTTGCAGGTTAACACATTTAGAGTGTTGCAACTTCTATCCTTGCAGCTAACGTCGAGAAAAGTTCCAAATACTCCAAGTCTAGCATTTCTGCACTGAATTGACTTTGCTTTTTTTTTTAAAATCATTTCCAAAACCTGACATGACTGGTTTTCATGTAACTGGGAACTTGTGTACACAATTTCATTCCACCACATGCACAACATAAGATGCGAATGACAATAAAGCAAACCTTGACCTTGACCTTTCATGGCTGGGTGTTGAATGAGTAAATCAGATATGGCGGAGATTAAACTTTTTCTTAAAAAGTTTGTTTTGCTTGGAATAACTGGTTCCATAAAGATCACAAGCTAGAATGTGTTTTTGGTGGACCTGAAAACAAGGTTAAATAAAGAGGTGGACCGAGTTATAATGTTTATGCAACAGTTTCCCTCGGGGCAAAGTTAACCATTTCTACTGATGCCCAAAATAAAACTGTTTTCACAAAAGCAGGAGAGTGGAGCTGCCAAAGTTCTGCAGAGTTTAACCACACTCAGCCATTTGAAATCTGCAGTTTGGTGGTTTCTTGGACTTCTAGGACCTCTGCTGTCACTGGACTTTCCCAGGATGACTTTGAATGGTTCAGCTGTCACCGAGGGTCAGCGTGAGGGGAGTTAGCTCTGTCACCAGCCAGGCCAAAACATCCAGCATTCAGCTCGCCTCAGCTGCCAACGGCAGACATTCTGGCAAAACAGGACGAGTTAAATATAGAGCTTTACTGTTCTGGGAGCCTAATCAGGAAGACAAGAGAGGAGTAAAACGCTCTGGCTGTGTGACAAAGGACATCAAACAGCACCTCTGCCTCTCTTCTAAGATTTTTTTTAACTTTCACACACTCATCAGCTGGCTTCTTGACAGGATAGGGTGGAAGGAAAATGAGCCGTTTGCCTCCTGAGTGAAGCGGGCAGGCTGTGGGAGTGACAGAGCGAAGGAGGGAGGGACGTTCCAGCGCTCTGTTGTTGCTCTCTGCCATTCCCTTGATGAACTGAAGACCTGGAACAACACAGAACTGGAGCTTAAGATGGATTTTAGCAGCACACTTTAAACCAGAGGACACAAGTGGACACATTTCTTTTTTTTTTTGGTGATATTTTAAGGATAACTTTGGAGTTTTATTGGTCTAAACCTGGGATTTTCAAAACAGCAGGTAAGCAAGTTCCTTTAGAATGATTAAAAAAATGTTTTTCTTTGCTCCTGTGTGGAAAACAAATAAAAAATAAATGTTTTTTATTCATAAATTAATTAATCTAAAACTGCTGCTACAGTTGACACCAGTTTTATGAAGCAACCTTTATCTAAGGTGCAGTTTAAACTAATATCCACAAACTATTCAGCTCATCAATTATTCATTCAACATTTTTGGGATTTTTGGAATAATCTTCCTGAAAAGACCACTTTTAGAGTTAATAATTCATCGTTCAGACAGCATAAGGGAAAGTAAAAGTTATGAATCAAACATTTCTCAACAAATGTATGAATGAGAGCTTTTAGTGCAAAGAATTTTCTGATTTACATGTGGGAGGAGAAGCCCACAGCTTCACAGGACAAAGTGAAAGCAGCTCTCTGATCCAGAAGACGCCATCATTGGGAATTATATGTACTTACATGTGACCTTTGCCCTCAACACCTCTGCAGCGCAGTGTACTATAAGCTCTAACTGTACAAACACACACGCTTACTTTAGCTCGAGCCTTGATGGGCTGCAGGAGGAGGACATATTTCATCCTGAATATTTTTGGGGTTGTGGAGACGCCAAAACGAATTCCATTTCGTGAAGTCATCTCATGGCTCCTGGGAGTCGCTGTTTGTCAGAAGTGACATCACAGCGTCTCAGTAAACTGAAAAGAAAAAGAGAAATGTCAGGGGAGGGTGGCTCATGCTATGGAAATTCATCTTTCAGCCACCCTCTGCAGCTTATAGTGTATCACCAATAACAGGCCAGAGAGAAGTGCTGCAGAAATAGCCCTCATTAACATTTTTGCACTTGTTCCTCACATGCTCTCAACAGTCTGTAAACTTTAATCAGCTAAATGGCTCCTTGAAAAGAGAGACTTGTGAACATTTATCAGTCCCAGCTTGTAAATGAATCAGTCTTGCTGTAAATCAATAATGCGGTCCCTGTTTAAACTGAAACGGACGTAAGCTCAGTTTGGGCGTTTGCCAAGACACTGCTGATCTGAGATGTGAGGCTGAGCTCATGGCATTAGAATGGCTCTGTGTCACTTGTTGCAGAAGGTGACATAGTTTAGTCATGAGCAACTTTAAAATCAAGTCTCACCATCCATCGTGAAGCGCTGCCCTTATCTTTTTTTGTTTGTTTTATATGTGTGACTGTGTAAAAGTCATAAACTGTCCATCGTTATCACCCACCGCTAAAAGCTGAAGGATGGTAATGTTTTTGCTCCATGTTTGTGTACCCCTTAATAAAATATCTCATGAGCCACTGTATAGATTTCAACGAAACTTTTAAGATATAATCATTTACCGTGCATATAATTCATTTTGGAGCCAACTTAATTCAAGATGGCTACCACAGCCAAATGACTAGTCTAAACTTTTGCACAAAAGGTGGCGGGCTGCATTCTTTAAATGAATGCTAGGCCTTTGAATCCTATATATTTTGCTTCTAATGATCTTTTAATATTTTAAAGCAATCAATAGTTCTCTTGGCTTTTTGAGGATCTTTCAAAGATTTTGGGGACTTTGGACACTTTTTCACTCAAGTTTTTCAAGCGTCAGGCCAAAAATGTGGTGCAGATGAGCAGTTAAATCCTGCAAAGACCCGACACAAGACCTCCCAGGTCCTTGGTTTACAGTTGGTCATCAACTGTAAACCAAGCTTTCCACTAACAGCTCTTTAGAAACCCCTTTGTTCCTCATGAAATACAATTTTATTTATGTCAAACGGTTTTATTTTTGGTACTTTTCATAGATTTAACTAAAGAAATGGGAAGAAGTGATGCTTTTTTTTTTGGTAACAAAGCAGCAAAGGATCCAATTTAGTACTAAATCTGTCAACAACAACCTGATCCATGTTTTGAATTTACTCTTTACATGTCTGAAGGAGTCATAGGTTAGAATACAATAGTTTATGCGGGGTGATACACACTTCATGTGAATCTATATGAACAGAAACACAACAGAGGAGGTGGAGCTGGTGGTCGTCTGTCGTGGGCGTTTTCTGGAGGTCTGCGGGGCCTCACCAGCAGCTGTCACCGACACATGTGCTGCTCCAGTCATATAAGTGCCTCCAGTCTTAAATTCCAAACATACAGTTTAGACCCATTAGGATGACTCGCTGAGCTGTGGCTATCGTAACTCACACAGCCTTCATTTAAAAATAAGTCCCTAAACTCCATAGCAACCCAAGATCTTCCCAAGATCATGTGATGATGCAACAAAAGTTCAAAAGGGGAAGCTTAATCACTGTGAATGCTTCATTCCTTAATTGTCTCTTTATATATCATGTCCTTGATTTTATGTCTTTACTGTAAAAAACATAGAAAATTTCATTGAGGGTAGAAAATTGTTTCCATATTTTCACCCGCTCATCGTTTGTTTGGATGAAACGACACAATCATGACTTAATCATGTGAGCTGTGTGATGATGTCACACCTCGTCTTCCCGAAGATGTTACTCAGAATGAATCTGAAAAGTATGACATGTCTCTGAGGGTTATTATTGCTGAAGACTGAAAGTATTTACAGATTTATTTTGAGACTGGGTCTTTCACGTTTACTATGTTATTTCACATACATGTTACTGGCTTTGGTCTTTTATGTCAATGTGAAAAACATAAAAAATTAAAAAATCTATACATATAGAACGTGAAACTGAATGTGGTTTGGAGATTTGGATCAGCATGGTTGACCAAGTGGGGAATTATTCCACCATGCATTTCAAAAAGTAAAATTATGAAACAAACAAACAAACAAAAATTTTTTTCTAAAAGGCATAACTTCCTGGTTTAGAGGACAAAATGTGTTCAGGACATTTCAAAGACCTGTAACATTATAAACACCAGAGATCAAAGTGACTAAATACACTTGTCTTTTTCTTTTTCATTCTTATTACCAGCTACAATGAGGCCTGTGCGTCCATTTTTGCTAGTCTGTCAGCAAAATATCTCATGAACCAATGAACCGATTTCAACGAAACTCTTGGAATGGTATCATAAAATGTACAGTATATCTACAACTGATTATGTTTTGACACAAAAACAGCTATAACTCAGTCAACTTTAAAGTTATTGAGCTAAAATTGAGTGTGGTAGTAGCTGAGAGTCAACCCTAACACATACTCTGAACACTAACAGATCATGCAGGACCTTTGCTTAAAACTATGGGTTGCAAGCCAGCAGGGAATATGAATTTCTTCAAGTATGCATGCATACCACAACGTAAACACCTAAAATAGTAGTAAAATAGTAAATGACTAAATTCGCAATCTACCTGCACTGTATTTGGTTTTGTATTTGTGTTTTTGCTCTATCATTAAAAAAAATACAGATCATAATTTCTGGTTTGCTCATCAGGTGATGTAAATTATACCTGCTGAAGCTACAGTTGCCTCCAGTGAGAGGATCGGGTTAATGTGACATCAGGAAATCACTACAAGATGAAACCCTCTATGCTGACATTTTGCTCCGCTGTGACATGTCAGCATTATTTTGTGGCTGTGGGGTATTTATAGAAGTCATCATTAGAGAAAGACAAGCTTGAAAGACCAAAATCGAGTCGAAAATGATATAAAAAATTGTAATAATCTGTATGCAAACCCTCATTAAATTCCTCCAACTGTGCTTGTAGTTTTCAGCACTTGTCTGAAATTAATTCATGAGGTTATTGGAATAAGATATCTATCAAGATCCAAAAGCAGACTGTAGCTTTGTACAACTGCATGGTCACAATTATTTCTTATCACCAGGATTGACTTTAAGCTTCCTTTCTTATCTTCAGCAACAATGTGAACTGGTTCCCATTTCTTGGTGGGCTTGTGTCCTCTGCTTCTTCATGAACAAACTGGAAAACACTCAAAACATGAAACGTTCCCCATTCCCTATTTTGTCACACACGTTTTGTCATGAAAATACTCCCAAATGCACTGAAATAAACTTGATTTTCTGATGATGTGATGCTCTATTAAACTACTGCGTCCCAGAATTTTTACTCTTATCCTCTTCCTAAACGTTTCCTAACTTTTCGCCCAGTTATAATTTAACTTTCATCCACGTTTTGAAATTTTCATGTTCCCAAAAAGCCTTTGAGGTGCTTTTATTGATTCATAAACTAATTATAAAGTAATTTCTTTAAAACCAATGAGAGTCCTGATCAGTGTCCACAAATCAAGAGTGAATCACTTCAGGTAATATAAAGACAGAAAATTACCCAAATCTCCGCATGTACTCTTGATATTTAAATAAAATAAAACTAAAAGCCTTTTCTGTTCATTCATATTTTACTTAAACCATGTGTCTGCTTCTTAAATCCAAATATATTCATTTTGACTTATTTAAATGGATGTGCAGGTAAATTCGGACTTGCTTCAGGTAAGTGCAGATTAAGAATTTAAAAAGTTACATATTAAACATCAGTGCTGCTGACTTCTGTAAAGTTTCACAGCTTCCTTTCTGACTTCGGAATTTCACATCATGGGTACACGGGGCCTATATATAAACACATATGCGACAGCTGAACTTCGAGCAAACCTCAGTACAGATTTAGGGCTCCATTTTAAATTTAGGTTCAGACCTTGACTGGAGTCTTGCAGGGTTTTAGGGCCTTCCTTCACGTAAGATTCCAGCCAGACAGATGTGCGTTTTAGTTTGAATGACATGAATTTGAGTGGGCATTGGGGTGGATTTTAAGTGGACCTCAGAGATCATCCTCTATATTCCATAAAGACAAGTGGCAGCATAGCATGCTAGACTGGAATGCAAGCCATGCAGCTCAGAAATCCCTTTTTGTTTTACAAAAAAAAAAAAAATCATGAAGTTAGAGACCGCAATGATCAGTCGTAGAATTAGACAGCAAAGAATTCTTGTAGAAGTAAGTCTTGAAGACTGGTTAATAAGTAGCTCCTAAAAAGTAAGTCTTAAAAAGTCAAATCTGTGTTTAACCTGGAAAAAGTTACCTCAAATAAATCCAGCATCTTTATTATAAAGGCTCTGTGATTTGTGATGACTCGTTTAGTTTAAAAGCGGTTTGTGACAAAGTGGACTGAATGAATGATGTCTGAAGAGAACGCCACAGATGAAAGCAAATCTTAAAAAAGAAAGACTGGAATTTGCTAAAATGCATATTGAAAATGAGAAGCCACACAGGTTCTGGGAATACATTGTTTGAATGGATGAGACAAGGCTACTTTATGGCAACAAGTCCCATCAACTATGATCACAAAGCCAAAATTAAAGCATATAAAGGAAAGAACACTGCACCTACGATAATGGTTATGTTCTGGGGCTGCTTTGTTACATCTGACACAGGGTATCTAGAGTCTGTATGAAATATCAAGACTATCAAGGCATTCTCAGAATCAGAATAAACTTTATTATCACTGTATCGAGATACCGTGAGATTATGTTTGTGCAGTCGTCCGAAAGATGGGCGGAGTGCACGTTGCTGCTGCTACAAGAGTGCGGCCTCTTATTCTTTATCAGAATATTTTTAGATAGAAAAAAGAGAAAAGGCCATGAGGATGGATAGATGTATAACAAAAAAGATCTCTTCGCATCTTGTCCTATCAGGACACGATTTAAGCCATAAAAAAAAACTCTACCAGGCCAGCAAGCACATTTATAAACACTTTACATACGCATTTGATGTAAAGATGGTGAGATTTGTCCATGAGACACTTCCAGTAGGCCATAGTCAGAATCAGAATAAACTTTATTGGCATTGCACCGAGATACAACGCGAATATCTTGATAAGATGTTGGTCAGCCGGCAGTTCTGATAAGCCTGCACAGAAGTTCTTGGGGGGGGTTGCGATAGACAAAGATTTTTCCTTAGTTACCCATGTCCCAGGAGAAATTTGATAGTCGGCCTGCTTTTGAGGCCAAACAGAGGAGTCAGATTCAGATAAGCCACAATTGTTGATTTCTTCAGGCAGACTGTTTTTGTCTTGTCAGTCTTGAATCCTGCTGGTACTTTTGATCCACAATGGCCAGATTTGTGGTCCGTGCTATAAGCCTCCTTCAAGGTCGTCTCCAAAAAGCTGGAGAGTCCTAGAAGCCATGTGGCCTGCGAATCTCACAAATCGCTTCCATCTTACGGTTTAGCTCGTAAATCAGCTGATTTTGAGTACTCGTAGCACAAACCAAACCTTCAGAGCAGGCAGCCTGACGAGGGCCAAATTAGCTGCAGCCGTCTTCTTTGTATGTTGATAAACCAGGAACCAGCCGATTCCAAAAAGCAGAAAACCTGTTATCATATATCCAATTATATATGTCTTTGGCGTCCTCCTGAGACAAAACGGAAAGACACATCAGCTCCCAGATCCATGGCGTATCCTGCAGCGTGACTCTCAGCGGGACGTGAGGGTTCTCCAGGACCTAGTCTGATTTTCACGAGTTGATTTCATCATTGTTGTGTACAAACACATTTATCCACGTCTGTATGCCTTTACAGGTAAAACTCAGCTGTGACACATTCTCTCCCCAGGTTTCTCCGTTGGACCACAGTGACCCTGCAAAACGAGCTGCTGTGTTACAGTAGCTCCTCTGCATCTTCTTGGCTTCAGCCCAGAAACTAAAAATAAACCATCAAGTTTCCAACTCTGCCAACTGATGCGTTGCTTGTACTCAGGAATTCTGCTCGAGTCATTTACATTACTGCACATGTTTAGGCGTTTCATCATGGCTGGACGTTTTAATGCCCTCCACTTGTAGGAAGTCTTCATACTCCATGGTTACATGTTGCCTCGACCACCTTCTACAAACTGGTGCAGAATAGGAGCCAGTGCTAGTGAGCCAATGGCTGAAACTAATAGTTATGATCAGGAATGAAGAGGCTGAAATGAATCTCCAGTTATGAACCAGATCACCTTGAAGCCAGCGTGAACTAACTGAACTCAGATAGACTCAACATGAAGGATGCAGGCAGCGTTATCTCACACCCCCTCTTAGTTTGGGCCATGTGCATTTGGAAGCAGGTGGAATTCAAAGACTGGCTTCAAGCATCATTACACTTCTCTGCTTTCTTAACTTTCCTGACCACCGTTACAGCAAAAGATGAAACCCTTTTCTTGATGATGACCATCATGTTCATCAGAGTCTTTATTGTAGATCGATCTTTCTGATCCAAACTGTTCTTAGGTGATTAGCTCTCTAAAAGGACTGCCTTTCACTTCTTTAGAAGATAACGGTGAACACGGATCGTTGGGCTTTTCTGTCAAAGTTTCATCTCAGGAGCTAAAGATAAACTGTTAAAAGGCTGTTTGCAAAAAAAGCTATTTAATAAAACATTTGAACCCAAGAAAGAACAAATTTACAAGTTTATTTTCCTTTCTTTTTCTATCTTTTGTATGTTAGTCAATCTATAAGACAGTTCAGAGTTTCTTTTAGTGCACTTACGCTGTTAGGTGGATTTTGTGTATTATGTGTGAAGTGGTTGCTACTCAGGAAGGGTATTAAGTTGCAACCCTGCCTCTTTCTATTAGGATGATGATTGTTGCAGCTCCAGGTGAACTTTTGTGAAGAACAAAGTATCTTCTCACATGAATCTGGATCTTTGTTCGCCACTGGAAGGAAAAAGAAACCTGCACAATGCAGTGAAAACTTTTTAATGTTGTACAATATTTTTTATCACATGCAGTGACCCAACATTTTCCACATCGTTTGCTTGTAGCAACAGGCAGTGTCTGCCATATAAAAAGGAAAACGGCTATAAAAACCCACATTTGTTCATAAAACTAAGAAATAAATCAAAACATATCCTGATGAACAGACCAAAAAACAGTCTTACTGCATGTTGTGCACGCATAAGTCCGGGTACAGATTTGAGCTTTCAGGATCTTAATGACAAAGTTAATTTACAGAACTAGAAATATTTTAGGTACTTCAAAATGGGCAAAAAAGAAGATATATAAAAAACTTTGATAGGGAGTTCTCGAGGCAGTCGTGGCCAGTGTCCTAAGTATACCTAATTTTACACATTAGCTTTTTGCAGTCATAGTAAATTATGATTGTGCAAAAAGATCATATGTAAAATTTAAAACTAATTCAGATGTCTTCATTTATTCTGAAATAGCTTCAGTAAAAGTATAAAATTGGAAGTAGACTGAAATAAAATATTGAAAAAAAAAAAAAAAAAAAAAAAAAAAAACGTGTTTCTTCTGTTTTTGTTTCAGGTAAGATGAGGTCCAAAAGTAGTGGGGTGGAGAATCCAGCAGACGGGGTTCTTGTGGTTCCACCAGGTGACCAAGTCATCAACCAAGAACAGGAAGTAGGCATGCCAGTGAAGAGCCTGAAGGCCAGAGTTCAACTGGAGGAAGGTGAGGATGAGGCAGATGTGATCTCTGATAAAGAGAAGCTGTTGTTCGAGTCCACGGAGGCTGGAGACAAACGAGGGGACATCAAGGATCTGTCCAAAGAGGATCTGCTGAAACTGCTGGGGATCATGGAAGGAGAAGTTCAGGTCTGTCCTTCTCTGCTTCTCAGTTTGTGTGTGCATGCTTGAATATGCACTGTAGATAAACTCAGCTGTTGTGATGCAGTTTTAGAGCAATAGCTCCATCTTGTGTTGTCCAACAATTTTCTGATTATACTTACAGTACTGTGCAAAAGTAATGAGCCATCCTTGTATTACATAATTTACATATTTTGCTTTTTAAAGAGCCAAAATGTCAAAAGTCCAAAGACAACCTTCAAAGAACTATTGATCAAGATCATTTCAAGAGATTACATGAAGGCCTGTCTCCTTGGAAGTAAAATATCAACGATGATTAGTATTTAAAAACTTTTCAGAGCTATATATTAGAGTAAAATGTAAATGATGAGGTCATTTTTTTAAACCTGGATGCTTATTGTCCTCATCAGGCCACAAAATATAATTTTATATGTTTGTGTATGTGTGTGTGTGTGTGTGTGTGTGTGTGTGTGTGTGTGTGTGTGTGTGTGTGTGTGTGTGTGTGTGTGACTTCAGGCCATGGAAGATATCATCTGTGTGCTGAGGTCCCAGCAGACTCCTCCAGAGGTATTTGAGTCACAGTATGGCTGTGTGGCCCCCAGTTCGGCCCTTAAAGCTCTGCAGAGGGACAGCTTCATCACCGGTACCAAACAACGCAGCCCCAGTGTTTACCAAAAACCCATGGCTGAGGTCAGCACTGTTCATTTGACCAAAACTTTGAAGCATACTGAGGATTTCTTTATGTATTTTAAAGCCAAGAAAATCAAAAAGGCATCCGTCCTAACCTTGTAAACTGATTTAAATCTCTTTAATGCGTCAGTAAACTTTATATGCAACAACTCCTGCGTGTTTTTGGTCTTTCTGCAGCTGAAACGTCTGCAGGAGAAGCACAAGGAGACGTACAGCCGGATGCTGGGCCAACTGCTGATGGCTGAAAAGTGCCACCGCCGCACGGTCCATGAGCTGGAGACGGAGAAACACAAACACGCCGACTACATGAACAAGAGTGACGACTTCACCAACCTCCTGGAGCAGGAGAGAGAAAGGTGAAGAGGAAAGAGCGAGGAAATACTGAACAACAGTTTATAAAATGTTTACATCTAAATCGATGTTTGACATATGTGTTGAGGAATTTTAAATTTAAAAAATCATGTTAGATGTGATGTGAAGACTTTGAATGAGGCTGCAGCTGTTGCTTACTGACTGACACAAATAGTACAAAAAATAGAAAATGTGAGATATCACCATCAACTATTTGAACGAGGTATATTTTTGATTCTAAGACTCATTCATTTAATGTAACACAAGTCTCAGCTTCCATTTAAAATAGTCACAAACTAACTCTTTACATGGAGACCCCAGAGTTTGGATTAAAATATCATGGCAAGATCTAGAGAAGTTTCTCATGAGGGGTGTCCAAAGTGCGGCCCGGGGGCCATTTGTGGCCCTTGGAGTGATTTTATGTAGCAGTTTAAAGATGGTTTAAATTTGACCTATAGGCTTAAGAGACATTTTGCAAATTTAATGATGACCGTTTTTCATGTAATTTTTAGGTTTAACAGCAAAATAAAAAATAAAAAAAAATCTCAAAATGAGCTATATTAAGTTTAATACAATCTTTTGGCAATAAATCAATAAAATCAAATAAATTTGATTTAAAAAAGTAATAACACATTATTGTTTATGAAGCTTTTAATGTTTTGGATCTACAATAATTTAGAACACCTTCTCCACCCAAATGTATAAATTTTGTCCTTTCTCCAAAATATTGTTTATACCGAGTAAAAAAAAAATAAACAACACTAAAAATATGTACGCTTTTAATTATTTATTTAATTCTCTTTTTTTTTTGTGGCTCACGACTCCTTTCATCTTCACGGTTTTGGCCCACATGTGAAAATGTTTGGACACCCCTGATTTAAGCTTTTCAGTCCAGGCTTTTTGGTAGGAAAAAAAAAACTAAAGAACAAAACCGGAAGTTCAGTGCAAGTGGCATAAATAAAACAGTAAAAGCCGTTTTTAGAAGAACAACTCTCTCACGATGACATCATTGGAGAAATGTGGTCACTGATGAGGTTGAGGGGTTCTGATCAGGGGAAGAAAACGTGCAAACACCATCAAAATGGGAGATAAGGTCATTTTATTTGGAAACTGGCATGAAGTGTAAACAACAAGGATTCCTTCAAAAGATGCCAGGACTTTAATTGCATTCATGGTTTGCCAAACAACTGATAAGCAGAAGGCATAGATGCAGCCTCTGCTGATTTCTTTTAAATCTCTGGTCATTTTACATGTTAGTATGATTGACGGCTTTTTTTCACAGAGCTCAGTGTTTTTCATTTTGGTGTGAAGCTGTTACTACTGAAAATCTGGGATTTTTTACTAGATGGGAATAATAATACCGGGAATAAAAAAAATTGCCTATGACTCATAGGGTTATCATACGTTAGATTTTTTTTTTTTTTAAGGTGTAAGACCAGAATGCAAAAACAGACACAAGTTTCTGTTTTCCATCTGTGTTTCGACAGTTCGCTCCCTCAGAGCGTGTCGTGATCTCATACTCATCGATGTGATCTCCGACAGCAGTCTGAGAGTGAGGAGAGACGAGTCAGAGGTTCTGTGCCAAACTTCTGCAGGAATGCAGAGGACGGGCACTGAAGAAGCTGTTTCTGATGGTAGCCATCAGACATTAGCACGGTTTCATGCAACAGAGCGATTTATATGTCAGGAAGTTTAACATTTTTAAGTGGCATGGTGGAATGTGTGGAGGCTGACAGAAGAAACGGCCTCTGCTCCTGATGGGGTTTCGGAGTCACGCAAAGAAAACTAAAAAAAACCTGCAGTAGATCCTCAAATTGTTCATATCAGGAACAAAATGCTTCAAATGAATATTAAAATGGGCTCCAATTTTTCCAGTTTAACTATCAGTCAATTAAAAAAAAAGTTTTGTAGGCTCAATCATCCAGGTAGATAACAACAAAAAAGGTTTAGTCATTTCTCCCTTAAAGAAACTGGTCCAGATTAAATGATTTAACCTTTTTTGATCAGTTTGTTCAGTACAGTGCCATACAACCATGAGCAAAGTATTTATGCTTTTCCTTTGAGCAAAGAGTGCAACACAGCAAGTTTACTAGGAAATACAAAGTAGAATTATCCATAAAATAAACTATTTGCATGATAATTTTTTATTTTTTATTTTAATTCTTTAAAAATACATATATCTTCACCTAAAGATGAACTTGTGTTTTTGTATGCTTAATATCTGATACAATGTTTATTCTTTCACATCAACTACGTTTTTTTTTTCAGGACTTAACCGTCTGTGTCAGGTACCACTGACATCATGGTTTGGACTTTAGCATAACAGTAATTTTAAAATGAACATTATTTTCATCTAAGTGACATCACATTGTGTAAATATGATTGTTACATGTTGCACTGCACATATTTAGATTTTCACTTGTATAGTTGTTAATCTTAACTGGCCAAAAAAATGATGGTAATTGGAACAAGAGTAATTGCATTTCCTGTGAAAATGCAGTGTGAATGCTAATTACTGAAGAACTTGCTGAAAAACAGCTGAAATTAGCTAAAAAAAACATGCTGAATTTTAGCTGAAAAGAAAGAACAAGCCTAAATTAGCAGAAGAAAGAAGAAAGAACACATATTTGCTGAATTATGTTTAAATAAGCAGAAATCAGCACAGAAATTATGAAATTGGCTAAAAAGACAGCTGAAATTAGCAACAACAAAAAAGCTGAAAAGTAGCTGAAAAGGCAGAAAGAAGTTTGAACTACCAGAAGGAAGTGGAAAGAGCTGAAATGAGTTTATGGAATTAGCTAAAAAAGCTAAAAAAAAAAAAAAAAGAAGCATAAAACAACTAAATATTAGCTGAAATAACTGAAACTAGCTGAAATAAGCTGAAAGGAGTATAACAAGATGAAATTAGTAGAACGAAGTTAATTAAGCTACAAGTAGCATAAATTACCACCAAAAAATGTGAATTTATCTGAAAAAAGGCTGAAATTAGCTAAAAATGCTAAAAAGGTAGCTGTAAATGTATAACAAGCTTAAATTAGCAGAATTGAGCAGAAAGAACATGTTTGCCCATTTAGGCTGAAAGAAGCTGAAATGAGCACAAAAAAAGTGGAAATTAGCTGGAAAAAAAGAAAAGAAAAGAAATTAGCCAAAAATAAAAATTAAAAATAAACAGCTGAAATGTAGTTTAAAAAACAGAAAGAAGCTTAAATTACAAGAAGGAAGCGGAGAGAGCATATTGATAAAAGTTGAAATGAGTGCAAAAAATGTGGAATTAGCAGAAAAAGCTAACATTAGCATAAAACTGCTGAATATTAGCTGAAATAGTAGAAAAAGCTGAAACTTGCAGAAAGGAGCTAAAAGGAGCAAAACAAGCTGAAATTAGCAGAAAGATGTTAGAATAAGCACAAAAATGTTGTAGTCAGCACTGCAGAAAGGATCTGAAGGAAGCAAAAAAACAGCTAGAAAACAGCTGAAATTAGCTGATTTTTTTATTTATTTATTTATTTATTTTTTTGCACAAGAAAACTGAAAGAAACTGAACCGGAACAAAATATGACAGGAGCAGTAAAAGGTTGTAAACGGATCTAAAAAAAATTTAAGGAGGTAAAATGAGCTCACTTCATTTTCTATGAGAAAAAAATTGGCAGAAAAGGCTAAATATTTCAAAAAGCTAAAGTTGCACCGATACTAAAGTCATATCACCCCTCTCCTGAACAAGCTCAATGTTTTGATATATGATTTGCTGAACTAGCACAAAAATTGTGGAACGAGAAAGATGCTGAAAAATGTACAGAAGAAAAATGGATCACAATAGTGAGAATGCTTCATAAACATTCACACCATCAGTGAACATATTTATTGACAAATCATTCACAGGGACGTGGCGTTGTTTCTAAAATGATCAACTCTCTGCATCAGTTTGTATTAAAAAAAGCTTCCTGCACTGATTGAATCTGTTCTCGCAGATCTTCTTCACCCTGAAAGAGTTGTTCATCTCATTGTGTCTGGTTTCCTCATTATGTGGAGACTTTGCATGGACGCTTGTTCAACTTTCCCCTTGAAGTGAAACATGAATACACGTCCTCTTCCCACGCATGCATCTGCTTGTCTTCTGGCTTTATGTACCAAAAATCAGATTTGATTCCACCCAACATGGACTGAGAAAATGTTAAAATTCATTCCAATAGTTTTAAAGGTTTCCTGTGTTGAAAAATGTGCAAAAAGTGGAAGGACTTCTGCAGAACCCTTCCTCTTTAGCTTTGGTTCCTCCTTCTTTCACTGCTGCTCCAAGCAGAGCAGCACACTCTCTCGTGCACTTTTCTATCCCGTACGGGTGAGGTCACATCGCACACTGGAGGTGCTCCAGAGTATTTTATTTTGTCTTTTCTTCTTGTGATAAAATGCTTGGAGTTTGATGGAGGAAGGTCTGTGGGAGAAAAGGAGACTCTTGCACACTTGGTGTGTTTCTGCTGGGTTTATCTGCAGCTTAGAGCATCTTTAGTGGGTAAGTTTTGAATGGGCTCTGATTCTGAGACAGGTTTTAGAAGCTCATTTTGCCTTTTGAATGGTTAAAGTTGCACATCTTTCCTTGTGCTGGTTGCTCTAGTTTGCGTTATTTTGCAATGCAAAACTGTTCACTTTGAATGATGCATAAGAAATGTCACTGGAAGTGTGCGAGGAGGAGACGTAGCTGCTTTGCATGCTTTTTGTTGGAGCTGCGCATGAGAGCGGGGCATGAGCTGCATAGAAAGAAGCTGAGAGAAAAGCCCACAGCTCGGTGAGGGGCTGTTAGTAAAACTTTCACTTGCTGTTTGTGTTTTTCTTTCCCATCAGCAGGGGGTAACATGGCGTTTTGATGTTGTGAAGTAGATTTTTGCCGTGTTCATCAGACTATTGTTAAATCTGTGTAACTTTATGTCAAATATTGTATTTGATCAATTGCTTTGATTTTCTTTTCTTTAATAAGACATGACTGTAGAACAATGTTTAGGGCTTTGAAACTCAA